ACCTGACATCAGTACCTGCACTTACCTGCCCCTTCGTGGTGTCATGGAGCAGACCACCACCCAACCACCTTAACGACCTTACCCATCAAAGGAAGAGTTAAAAGCATTCAACCTCAAGCAGCCAAATGCCACTGCCTTACTAGACTCTGGTGTGGTCATGTGCTCTTTGAGTTATGACTGCTTCCATGTTTCCTGGTTTTGGCCCCCCTCCCTCACCTTGGAGAGGTGAATTTCCTCTCTCGCTCTATTTACTTTCTAAATAAACTATTTTTCTAATCTAACTTCTGTGCAATCCTTTGCATCTTTCATGCTGCATCGGATCGCACACCAGACAATCCACACCCACAACGGGCCTAACCTAACATTCTGAAGGACCAATGGGAGTGTGACCCTAACATTTTTAGACGTCCCACCGAGATGTAACCCTAACATTTTTGAAGGTTCCGCTGAGATGTGACCTAGCACGCAAAACCCGTGGATTCTTTGGCTCATTTCTAAAAGGAATTTTAGAGTGGCCAGCAAAGTTTTAAAACAAAGCTTATTAGTGAGAGAAGAAGGAAGAAGAAAGATTCATGGCAGAAAGACCTGCCAAGGGCAAGTTTTTCAAAGAAGAAAAACTTCACTTTAGCTCTCAACTGCAAACTAGACACTGCTACCTAGTTATTGATATGCTAATGATGGACTCCAGGTAACCATAGCTACAGAGAGATTGACATCTCTGGACTCCTGATGGGAGGAGATAAGGGGAGGGGTCTTTTCCTCAACATACAGTTTCCCCGGCCAGACATTTCCAGTTCATACTCCCTTAGCTAAAGTGGCCTTACTATCATTTATACGGCTTTGGCCAGTTAAGGGGTGGTCTCCAATTCAGGAGTGGTCTTTGGCCTTCTGTCTTCCACTGGGAACCTGAAAGTTTCTTAGGATTATTATGCTAAACCATGAATTGAAGGGTTGGGCTGTCCTAGTTTTGCATCTGTTGGAGTTTTCCTTTTATTTGCTGAAGGATTGGGGTGAGCTACCAGCTTGGCCTGCAGTAAAATGTAATTTGTTTGTTTGTTTGTGTTTTGGTTTTTTTTTTTGAGTTGGAGTCTCACTCTGTCACCCAGACTGGAGTGCAGTGGCCGCTTCCGGCCACCGGAGCCTCGACCTGCTGGGCTCCGGTGATCCTTCCGCCTCGGCCTTCCAAGTAGCTGGAATTACTGGCATGTGCTACCATGCCCGGCTGATTTTTTGATTTATTGTAGAGATGAGGTCTCGCTGCCCAGGTGGAACCCGGCGGGTCTCGAACCCGCGGGCTCAGGCAATCCACTCAACTCAGCCTCCCAAAGGCGCGGGATCTG